TCTTCATTTTCTTTCTAATTATTCGTCCGGCATAAAGTTTTTGTGCATATGTTGCCAATTTCATTAGCATCCCAACGTCTTTACTGCCATTTAAGAGAGAAAAACATTTGATTCTGGAAAAGCTGTTTTAGTGACTAGTGACAGCAGACACAGGAACCGAAAGCTCCTATCACGTCTCCATTCATTTTAAGTCAAAATAAAATATGAATCTGTGTGTTTCCATCAGACGCGTTCAGAAGTACGTGACCTGGTGACTTCATTGATTAAGTTATTCAGATGCTTTATGGTGTTTCAGGGCTTTTCTGTTTTATTAATGAATGGATTAGTCTCTTCTGATCCATGTGCACCCTGTGGTGCTTCTATTGATTTCTGTGGTGATGGAGACAGTCGACATGCAACAAGCCTGGACTCACACACACACACACACACACGCACACGCACACACGCGCACACGCGCGTCCTAATTGCCCTCCCTATTCTGATGACGTAAATAACATATATCCTTTAAAGCTTATATATACAGAATTCACTTCCCACTAGATTACTAAAGGAGGCTACGGCCCACCAGACTCCATTGACAAAACCAGTAATTTTACCAAGCAGATAATCCTAAAACACACTTCAAACTGCACAGAAACAAAACTCACCAATCTGTCCCACCATTAGTCTTTCCAACAATCGCTGGGTTGCTGCTATATTAATGTTTTATCTCACATATAAAACCTTTAGAGTTGAATTTAAAGTCCTACAGACGCATTCAGTTGTTGTGGTTGAGTACAGTGTGACGTAAGGCTGCATATGTTTCCTAACATATCAAACACACACACAGTTGTTGGTCCTACATTCAGTATTTGACGTATACATTGAGGCCAGCTGAGCGGGAAAACAGGATCCAAACTCGGTGCTGTGTGTCCGTGATGGAGTGAGCATCCACACATCGCTTCAGAAATAACCAGCAGCTTCTGTTGCTACACGTCTGTCCGACCGACTGACTGCGGATCAGATTTTAGTCACATCTGGCATCTCAGGTCGAATTTCCTCCAAGTCCTTCGCTCTCCGTCTCGTCCTACATTCAGACAGTTTTTCCAAAGCATGTTTCACAAGGGTTAGAATGAGGATAAAAAATTTATGAAAAATGGTACTATGGTACCTAATGCTACTAAATAGTTAATATAGAAATGTAATGTATGTAATGTATTATTTGCTGAAACTTTCTCTGCATCCTGACAGTAAAACATGAGACAGATAATGTGTGGAAAGATCAGGTTCCTCTGACTCCTTCCTGATTTTAAATGAAGACGTCACAGAAACAAATAGATGATTATTGAATAGAATAAAAATAAACATCTATAATAAAAATACAGATAAATTAACAGATCTGTACTATAGTTATTTTTATAAAAGTTACCTGCTGCAGCTTTAAATAACCTACAGTAAGTGTATAAAAGCATTGAGGCTGTTTATATGTTAAAGCAACCGTAAGAATAATCCAATAGAACAAATAATAATAAACAGTCAGTTATTTCCTGCACTGTGGCTCCTTTTATACTATTGCAAATAATAATGTTACTTGATTTAAATTTTGAATGCAGGACTTTAAATTGTACTGCAGCATTTTATTTTAAAAGTATTTCTACTGTGGAAGGATGTGAATTCTTCATCAACACTGACAACACAGCACAAAGGTTTAAGGCCACTGCAGTGATCTGGGAATGTCTACGAGGACATGAGGGATGTAGTTTTTAGTAAAATGTTCTCCGTTTACGATGGTTTCTGTTGGCTGTATGATTGTGCTTCAAGAAGGAGCCTTTCCTGCAGCGCAGTGGTTCCCATCGTGGTTTTAAGGGGTGAAAGCAAAATAATATATACAGCAGGCCTATGTCAGAATTTCATTAATTTATGTGAAGAAAAACAAATAAAATACTTAATGTTTTAACTATTATTAGAGACAGAAACTCTGACGACCTGAACACAAGCTGTATTTACAGAGCTCCAAGTATCAGGAGAAGAAAACAATGAATATTTAAAAAAATGAAATTAGTCTATTAAGTCTGTATGAGTACTACAAATAAACATACTAACATAAAAAACATAATTAATACAGAGGATTGTATAAAAAAATCCTAAAAATCTCATCTATAATGCAATATTCACAGGAAATCTCAAAATGAATCCAAATCACTCGTACTCGCAATTTTATTATTATTTAGTTCAGTTTATCAGTGTTCTATATTTGTTGAATATAATAAGAAATATCTCTAAAATGTGTCACTTATAGGTTCTGGATAAAAGTGGGAACCACTGCTGTAACAAACCTTTTGTGCCGAGCTATGGAGAGAGGGCGAAATATATGAAATATAAAGATATAAGATTGTGTTATTGAGAGGTGTGTAAATATGTAAATAGGTGTGGTGTGTGTGGTGTGGTGTGTGTGTGTGTGTGTGTGTGTTGTGTGTGTGTGTGTGTGTGTGTGTGTGTGTGTGTGTGTGTTGTGTGTGTGTGTGTGTGTTGTGTGGTGTGTTGTGTGTACACTGTCCGTCTCCGTTCGATGAGGGTGTGAACATTCCCAGCATGGCCTCACTTCAGCTGTGGGCCAGCTGCTGCCTCCAAATAGGGTTAAGAGAGAGAGGAGAGGAGGAAGGGAGAAGCAGGGGGTGAGGGGAGGGACATGGGAATGATAAGGGAAAAATAAGACGAAGAAGGAAGAAGAGAATTAGAGATAAAGAAAGAGAGAGTTTAACGTCCCTGCTGCACTGCCGATAAAACCAAAGACAAATAAAGATAATAAAATAAAGGAGAAGTTTCCAGGCCAATAACAAATCTATAATCTGTACATCAGATTTTACACAGCACAGTGTTAAACATATATTCAGACTTTACTGTAATCAGCTCATATTCATTTATTTTTAAATGAGGCCTCAGGAATAAGTTCTTTATTCAGATGTATTGAAAGCAGAAGCAGCTCTCCCGCCCTGAGTCACTGTTCACACCCCGCTCTGTCAGAAAGGAGCGAGGGATGTAGTGAGGTGGAGAAAGAAGA